TATATATATATGTGTGTGTATATATATATATGGATGGATGCATACTATATGTGCATCCAATGCATACTATATATGCATCCATACACAATATAAAGAATGTACAGGTTATATACTGTACATTTGAGTTCAGATTCCTTACATGTTTCCTCAATCACAGATAGATGAATTTTGTTACAGCTGCTCTGCAGTGTTTCTGTCTCTGGCCACGCTGTTTTCTGGGGTAGATGACAATGATTATTATTTTGAACTCAGCTTTTTTTTGGTGACTGTCTTATAAGTTAGAAAAAAAATGGAGAAACTTTAGAAGCTAAAATTGTTTGGGGGGGGGGGAACTAATAACTGTTTCTTGTAGCACAACTCTTACACTGCTCTAAGTTGTTAACTCAATTTGACTGCTATTGGTTCTTCCGACATTAGTACAGGTCATCCAATTCTTTCCTCTTTGGAAGCAGTGTGAAAGAATGAGGGTTTTGAATATTTCTCAAATAAAAATAAATTAAAGAGGAGAATAGCATAGTTTTGTTTGGATGGATTGTTTTAAGTTTTGATATTATGAGCTCCAAAGATACTTTTAAGATGATTCAGATATTTGTCTTGCAAATTTCCACAAAAATGAGTTTTTTCTACAGCCTGATAAGAATTTAGGGGAAATTTCTATCTAGCTTGGAATGCAAGAAAAATAAATTTGTATTTCTTTTAACTAACACTTGAGAGAAAATTAATTTGTTTTTCTTTTTGTTTTAGCTAAAACAGAGCATAAAATAGAAACAATTGCTCCTCAGTTTTCAAAGGTGAAAGTTAAAGACTTCTTCCACAGGCTGGTATGTAACATGCTAACGCTGATTAACCTCTGTCATTTTGCTAGCAAGTATAAATTCACTCTAATGTGAGGGAGGGGACACAAGTATTTTAGCCTGAAAAAATGATCCTGTAGTAACTGGGTTTTTTCAGAAGTTATGGGAGAAATTAATCCTTGCTTCAGAGATACAAGTCAATTTGAGATTAGAAAAAATGAAAGTCCCATATGGCTTTGCACAGCATTCATTCTTGATAACCTTCATAAAAGTCCCATGGAGTTTCAATGGATAATTTCATACAACTTAAAGGTGGGAAGAAACATGTAGTACTCAGGGGTGGACATGCAGAATGTTGCATGCTACAAAGCCAGTCTTTCAGGTGGCTCTGTGTGTATCAGTGGGCAAAGGGAATGGGAGTTGTGGTTAGGAACAGAATATGCAGTGTTTCATGAATCAATTTATCTTCTCCAAAATGGAGTAATAGAAGACCTTAGAGCTTGTTGCAGCCAGAAGATTCTGCACACCTTACAGACATCTCAGAGCAACGTGTTAGTTGCTCTCATCCCACTCTGTTTGAAGTATCACCTAAACAGTCATGAAGTAGGGCTGAGCATTTCAGGAGATATCTTAAACTACGAGGATAAATCTCACTGTTCCATTTCAATGGAAGGAGCTGGAAGTTAACCTGGGTAAAACCTAGACAAGATGAGCTTAAGGCATTGTAACTTAAAAAAACAGAAATGCTTACTTACCATAACGTGCCTGCTGCCATGTTAACCTCCAGGGCCCACTGACAGTGTTCTCAGCCAAGCAGAGATGGACGGCTCCACGTACCATTCACATCCACCGTGAAGCAGGAAAGTTAGGATTCAGTCTGAAAGGAGGTTCACCAGTACAGATTTATTGTCTCGATCCAGTTTGTTCTGCAGCAGTAAGTACATTGGTGCAATATTAATAATTTATCTCCAGACTCTAGCATTACAGTCTTTTAAATGTAACTTTAGCTTGTTCATACTGGTGTATGGAATATTTATTGAGTTCTACTATACATCAGTATAGCCTTCATATAATCTGAACACAATTTCAGTGCTATATACATCTTAGATGTTAGAGTATCCATAATCCTGACATCACATTGAACTAGAGTTGATTTCTTTCTCTCTTCACACTTAATAGGTAAAAAGTCCCAAATAATAAAAGCAAATGTTATTTCCCATCTAATTTGGGAAGTTAGAAGGGATAAAGGCTTAGAAAGTAGCAACAACAGTAAGGATGGGGATTGGGAAGGGAGGGTAAGGTACCATGTGCCCAAGGAAAACACCAGGCTTTATTTACTGAAGGAGAAAAGCAAAAAGGACCTAAAAAGAGCCAACATTTGAGTATGCCAGAATCACGTTTATCAATGGTAACTCAAATTGGTAATTTCTTTACTTGAAAAAGTTGCATCTTTCTATGTTATGTATACACTACTGTTCCACATACCTGGCTAGACAATGGTTTTATAGCATTTAAGAGGGAAGTGCCTTTAGGGCTGATACTCTGTGATTACAGAAACATTTTATGCATCTTTATAATTCCAGACAATAACCTGTGCAAAATTTTTTGACAGTCGATGGGCCTAAAAGAAGGTGACTACATTGTTTCAGTTGGTGGCATGGATTGCAAGTGGCTTGGAGTGAATGAGGTGCTGGAAAAATTCCAAAGCATGGGAGAGCAGCCCATTGAGATTGAGGTTATCAGTTGCCAGGATACAGCGGCATCTATGGTATGTAATGAGGCAAATATGTTTTCCAGATTGGATATGTGAGTTTTTTCACTTTCATGGCTTCAGATCCTGATGAATGTTTACTTTCATGTAGTCAGATATCCCGTTCTACCAGTGAATATATAAAGCACTCAGGCATGTGTTCAGTTTTAAACAGTCTGTTTAAATCATCATGACTTAGTAAGCTAAAGTACAGTCTGTGTGCATAAGAATGGTTGGATAGTGGGGTTTTTTTTTTTTGAAGTGGAGCTACTTAGATTAATTGCATTATAAATTCCAGGGCATATTTTATTTTCCCCTAACTTGTCCCAGAGGATGAAAATATTACCCTGTTCAGGATTGGAAAAGTCACAATGAAACAATCATGGAATGAAACAGAACATCCAAGACCACATGCTTATTTTCTATGCACTGTTAATATAACTGATCTGCAACTTTTGTATTAGATCAGATTAATGTATGTATTTTTTTATTTTGGGTGGATTTGAACTGTCAGTTATTAAGCTGCTGTAGAAGCTCTAGACTAAGGAAAAATGATCACAAGATTAAAAAATGTTAAGCTCTAAATAACTTAAACTTATTTGTAGTGTGAGAGAACGTGTAGTTCAGCTAAATCCACTGCTTCATGCTTCTAACATTCCCTGGCAAGCTTAGGCATGGTTGTTGCTTTAGAAGTGGTCAAGGTGCTCTTACTGCTGTTAGGTTTCCTTGTTTTGTTTAAGAAGCTGATTTTCCATATTAAAAATAAGGAATTGCACACCTGCCATTCCAAACTGCTACTGGAAACAAAAGGCTAGAATATAATCAAACTGCTTCAGGGCACAGCTAAGATAAGACTGAGAAGGTTGTGCCTTTCAGGTATCCCAAAAGAATGTCTTACAGTAGCTCTTGTCATAGTTGAAATCAACATGGAACCTGTCCAAAGACAGCAGAAAGACTCCCCTTCAGAGATTTGTGCAAGAACTACACACTTAAGCTGTGCAGAGAGGTTAGGGTATATGTCATATAGGTGTGCTAGAAGCCAGAAAATACTAACTATAACAGAACCCATGGAAAAGATTCCCAAGTCCCTTTATGCTTTGCATAGTATACCCTTGAGACTATATGGGCAAAATACCAGAATCACAGCACTGTGAGGGCCTTGTGTTCAGTTAGTGTGTCATTAGCACAGCAAGCTTGCTGTAGTCTGCCTTGGAAAACTATTTGCACAGTAATCTTTTGTTACCTTCAAAATTTTGACCCATTTTGGGTGACTGATTCTTATAATGCTTCTCTTTTTCCTACAGCATAGTAAGAGTGCAACTTACTCTGTGGGAATGCAGAAGACCTATTCCTTAATCTGTTTAGCCATGGAAGAGGATAAGATTGATCAGACCAAGAAAGCCCCACTAAAACTGCCGTTTCTGAGTTGGGGAACTAAAAATAGACAGAAAGCTGCAAGCACCCTTTGCCTTCCTTCAGCTGTGGCTGGAAGTTCTCAGATTAAGAAGAAGCTTTCTCCCTTCACGCTTCTGAATACAGAAAGTTCATTGTACTGAATCTTTTAACATGACATTTTTCTTTAAAATGTATATAAAAAAATATTGATCATTTTATCTTTATAGATACGGGTATATAAATTCAGACAAATGCCGCTGCCTTCATTTACTGTGTACTGAACCACTGTGAAGGTCAGAGGCTGGCAAAAACTGTACAACTTAAGTATTTGAAGCTTAGAATGAAGAGATGTGGGAGGTATGCAATAACAAGGTGTAGATGATAGAATTGCTTACACGAGGACTGGATTCCTTTGGAATTTCAAAATACAGTACCATGACTAATTTTTTATAACTATGATAGATGAGAGTTATTTATTACAAACTTGATGCTGCATGCAAAACAATAGGGGACACTATTAAAGGATGATTTTGCTGTAAAAGTTGAGAGTCAATAATAAATCACTTAAGACTGAGAGAGGGTAACGTTATTCAGAGAAACTAGCCTTGTGTTATGGTTTTTATGCACAGACGTTCTCTTTCTGAGAATACTAGCTGTATTCTACTGAATAGTTAAATTTCATTCTGGAAGAGAATTAGAAGGCTTAGAAGTCAAAAGATCTTTTGAACTACAAAAGGCTTTTACTCTGCTCTTTTTCTGATCTAGGATACATTTTAAACGCCTGCTGATTCAATTGTTAAAAACAAGCTTTGTTCCAAACTTGAATTTATTTAACCTACTTACTGTAAGACTTGTATCTCATTAGTCTTGATAAAATTGATAGCTGTGGAACAAATCTCATATTCCAGTATCTTGATCAAGAGCACATAAATTGTGGTGATGCTTTAAAATATGAGAAAAGAAGTGCTTGTGAGTCTTAAGTGGTAGAACATTTATGTACTATCACACCAAGTAAAAAAACCAAGTGGATACAAAATCCTCCCCCCCTTGAAACAAAACAATTTAAGGGCAAGTACTGGCTATATATATATATATTAAAAAATAACTGTGTGAGCATTTCTTTAAGACTCTTCTATTTTCTGAAATTGAAATTAACTGAAAATTGCTAACACTGTAGTGTTAGTTAACATTGCCATCTACAGAGTAGATATATGCTGTTTGATACTCAAAACTTAAAATAAGGGTAAAGTGCATCTGGGTGTAAACTTTATAGTTGTCATTTATTTTTAGTTTCTTGTGTAATAGATGTAAATATGTTGATGACACTTATTTAATAAAAATTAGATGCTTCTATTTAGTAGCTTTTTGATTCTGCTACAGCTTGGATGATACAGTGTAATTTACAGGTTTTTGCTACTTACCATACCTCTTGCATGTTTCTGACAAAAATCTAAGAAACTGTCTTTCTTAAAAGTTTATATTGTATAATACAGGGACTTATAAATTACAGTCTAAAACTTGCCTCCTTGCAAAGAGTGATAATATATTTCTAGAGTTTCTCTATAAGAGTTACATAAAAAAAAGTTGTAATTTACTTGTGACTCACCCATCCTTAGCAGTTATTAGTCATGTATATTTGTAGTAGCATTTCTTTTACACACACAAGCAACAGCAGTCATTTACTGATATGCAAGACCCTGCCATACAATATTCCATATAGAAGAGATTTACTTTGCATGTATAGCTAAAATTACTATCCAACCAATGAAATCTTAAGCAGAGTCCCATCAATCCCCCTCTTCCAACTCTTCATTTCTCTTAGCCCACTATGATAGTCCTCCTGCAAATATATTTCCCCTTAGCTGCATGATTAACTGTCTGTTCCCATCATCACACTCACTAGTTCTTGAGGAAATGCTGGAGTGGGGGTCTTTTTTTTATTTAACTCCCCCTGCCCCCCTTAATTCCAGTCAAAATGTTTCTCAAGTGCCATTCAAATACATACTTAGTATTTTCTAAAGACTCATTCTGCACTGAGCAGTCACCAACAGCTAACTTAAGGCAAATATTAATTTCACAGCAAGTTAGTTCTTGCTGAGACCACAGAAACATTTGTAGCAAGCTTATATCTACAAGGATGTGTAGGGCTACTAGAAAGCCCTAAAAATAAAGGTCTGCAATAGATTCATAGATTGCAGTGTTTCATCCTATAATTCCATTAGTACTAATTGTTACTACTTTAATTAAACTGTATTTAATGCACTGAGCAGATGGCCATTTGAAGTAGTGAAAAGGTGTTTGCTTTGTAACATCAATAGCCACATACCTTTAGATGTGAAATCCAGTCTCCATAGCAAAGGTATTAAGTCTGAGAGAGAGTGAATACAATGTGAACAAACAGATGTAGAAAGAAGCTTAAGCATTCCCTAGTTGTAAGAATGTAGTATCTTGTTCTGTTTGTTGTTCTGGAAACTCTGATGTTTATTATTTAGTAAACTAAATATTTACGCTCAAATGAGAAGTGTATTTTTATCCTAAGTAAGGAATCAATATAAATAACAGGTCTATCTGCTCTCCATGCTAACTGATGGATGAGATTGGTTACAGGGGGTAAGGAATCAATATAAATAACAGGTCTATCTGATGGATGAGATTGGTTACAGGGGTGCCAAGGTTCTATTACTCACTTCTCTTTAGTTTACAAAAGGGAGTTGAAAATCCTGTTCAACTGCCTTCCTGCTGTGATCCAAAACCCAAGTAGTATAAAAGAAGCTTTTCACATACCTCCTTAATGAGTACATGAGGCAAAAGGCAATTTTACCCTAAATAGGATAAGAACATAATTTAAAATAAAATGCAAGATGTCAGAAAAACCAATCCTCCTCTTTACAAATAACTTTTAAAAAGATTAATACTGGAAGAATAGGATGAATTACAAATTTTGATTAAAGCTTCCCATATTATTTTCTTTCTAGCATATATTATAGTATAATTGATATAATTAATATGTCAAAATATATTTTAATTTATTATTATTATTATCCCAACCTATATTCAAAAGCACAATGTAAATTAAACAATATTTTGTATATTAGACACAAGGGAATAAATTTGGTAACACCCTGTGAACTGCAAAAGGAACCAGAGAAATAAGTTAGTGTAAAGACAAAGATGTATTCCAGTAGGACTTCCCAAAGGAACCCCAAAAAGTTATAAATCAAAGGTATTACTAAAAAGCAATGTATGCTGACTTTTTTAAAGCCCTGTAACGCACATTTCTGGTTACTGAGAAGATAACACCACCCACATAGTAACAAGGTGTTTATTTCTGGAAGACAAAAGTAAGCAAACAAATTGCTTTTCCATTTTTTTCTATGGATGCTGAAAAAGACATCTTTCTCTCAGTTTTTTGTGCAAGATGATAGGTGCAAAACACTTCACAGCCCTCCTTCCAAGGCAGTTTTACAGCTCAATCTACATGAGCAGAACAGCTGTAAAGCAGCAGCAGCAGAATATTATCTAGAGGATGAGTCAACACCTCCTGTTGTTACCGGGATTATAGAAATTACCATAATGAGTGATTATTAAAAGCAAAATTTTATAACTTGCAATAAAACCAAAAAGTCTTTGTTTTCCAAAACAGCACGACACATGCATGTCAGGAACAGAAAAAAGTGTGAATTTGTTGTGCTACCGTTTGTCCAACTACCAGCTCAAGCTCTTCGACGGATGCGTTACAAAGCCGGTGGATGCTTCCAAACTGTTGCAATAAAAGCAGAGCTTTTGTTTTCCCAACTCCTGGAATTTGTTGTACCGTCCGAAACAGAGATGGCTCTGCCAGCTGAGAACACTGTTTACGAATAAAGGGATTACTGTTCTGATCCTTACTTTGTTCACGGACCTGAAGGGAAAAAAAAACCCGTAAGTGACCCCGAGTGCCCTCTGCTGGAGCTCTGCTTTTGGTTTTTAAAATCGTTTCTTTCATCTCCAGAGTTCAATGCAGTAACGAGGAAGTTTTTTAATAAACAAGCTACCTCCTTAAATGTGTGCACCCTTATTAAGGGTTTTGATGCAGATCCACAAAATCTCACTAGGAAACCAACAGTTTCTTAATACCAACCATGAATTAAAACAATGATTTTGTCATCTTTTTGATGCAATTAGAGAAAGGATAAAGGAAAAGAGAAACAACATAAGAACAGTTTCCCCAGCCTGAGATAAAGCAAAACCTCAAGTTGGTTTTGACAGAGAACTTAAACGAGGATTGCCTAATGCTATTCAGTGGCACCTCGGGGCAAGATTGCACTAAAAAAATCCAGTATCATATTCAACTTTTTTTGTTGTTGTTGTTGCCAATTGAGGCCTCTTTCCACTGAGCTATACTACCATATTACTATTGCAGGATACTTATTCCTTACATTCAAACAACAAAGTATGTTGCATTCCTTTAAGATCCCAGGTATTCTTTCTGAAATGAGCGATGATTGTGTTTACCACAGGTAATTCTTCTCTTGTTCCATATGTTAATAAATATCCACTAACACAGAAACTTACTAGCTGAGTAATAAGTTGAGAAGCTTCTCCTTGATTTGCCACAGGAAGCAACACCATTCCAAGTTCTAGCACAACAAGTTTTTGTACTGCTAAGAAGTACTGATCACTTAGCTGGGTTTTCTCTACAATTACAATTCCCCCAAGACTGCTGGCCTGTATTGAAAGGAAAAAAGAAGAAAAGACTTTGTTAATGACAAGCTGATGGAATGCAACAGAGAGAAAAATTCTATCAAGTAGGAGCAGCCCAAAAGCAAATCAGAGAAAGAATAGAAATTGCAGCAAGTACTGAGGTTTAATACAACATTATTTATTACACAGCTGCATAACTTTTCAATTTTCAGATGGAAATTATCACAAAATTTTAGCTCCACTAGAATTTAAAAATAACACAAGAATGTTTTCAGAAGAATAGAATAAACGAATACCAATTGAAAACTTTCCCTTTTCTCTTTATGTAGTACTTACATTTCTAAACCGAACCAATCTTCGTTTGAATTCATCCCCTGCAACCAAATCTGCTTCAGAAATATATAAAATGCAAATTTTGTTTGAAAGATGAAAATCCACAAGTCCCAAGCCATCTTCAAGGATGAGTCTAACTTTACCT